TCTGAGGTCCCCCCCATCGCCGTGGTGGCTGAGAGCTGTGGGTGCCCCCTGCCACACACAGTTGCTGAGATCTCTAGGGACCCTGCCAGCTGACAGCTCCAGTTCCACCGGGGCTGAAGTGGAAAATGTCACAGAGGTCTCTGTGACTTCCGTAACCTCTATGACATAATCTTAGCTTTAATTATTAGCATAAGAAACAACCTAGATGATTTCCTAAAGCCCTTTGTTCTATTTAAATAATATGCTAAAACCTTTCTAACATCTCAGGTATGTGACACAGATTCCCTTTTATTAGTATGCAGTTTGGGGGAAAATACCAGTAAATTTAATCTGACATGAAACTCAGATACTATTTTTGGTTAAAAACCTGGGATTAGGTCTAAGATCCACTTTGACTTTGTGAAGGCTTATCGGCTATCAAAGCAAGCAATTCATTTACCCTTCTGGCTGATGGTTATAGCAATAATAAACAGTTTTGATAGATAAATAAAACAAAGACCACTGTGCTAAGGGTTCAAATTGTGGCTTCATAAGCACTGATAAGATTAATTTAAGGTCCCTTTGTGGAAGCAGATCCCTCAAAGGGAGATACATGTTATACAACTCCTTCATAAACCTTTAACTGTATTGTGCACAAATAATGACCTTTGTGCTAAGCTGAGAAAGCTGCTCAGTAAACTCTTGGGAGAGGAAATAGATAACCCTTCAAACGTTCAGTACACTACATACTCTAAAACACAAGGAATAGAAGCTCTAACTGTTGAATGAGATCTTCCCCACATCCAAGAAATAGAATCATAGAATCATAGAATATCAGGGTTGGAAGGGACCTCAGGAGGTTATCTAGTCCAACCCCCTGCTCAAAGCAGGACCAATTCCCAACAAAATCATCCCAGCCAGGGCTTTGTCAAGCCTCACCTTAAAAACCTCTAAGGAAGGAGATTCCACTACCTCCCTAGGTAACCCATTCCAGTGCTTCACCACCCTCCTAGTGAAAAAGTTTTTCCTAATATCCAACCTAGACCTCCCCCACTACAACTTGAGACCATTACTCCTTGTTCTGTCATCTGCTACCACTGAGAACAGTCTAGATCCACCCTCTTTGGAACCCCTTTTCAGGTAGCTGAAAGCAGCTATCAAATCCCCCCTCATTCTTCTCTTCTGCAGACTAAACAATCCCAGTTCCCTCAGCCTCTCCTCATAAGTCATGTGCTCCAGCACCCTAATCATTTTTGTTGCCCTCTGCTGGACTCTTTCCAATTTTCCCACATCCTTCTTGTAGTGTGGGGCCCAAAACTGGACACAGTACTCCAGATGAGACCTCACCAATGTCGAATAGAGGGGAATGATCACGTCCCTCGATCTGCTGGCAATGCCCCTACTTATACAGCCCAAAATGCCATTAGTCTTCTTGGCAACAAGGGCACACTGTTGACTCATATCCAGCTTCTCGTTCACTGTAACCCCTAGGTCCTTTTCTGCAGAACTGCTTCCTAGCCATTCGGTCCCTAGTCTGTAACAGTGAATGGGATTCTTCCGTCCTAAGTGCAGGACTCTGCACTTGTCCCTGTTGAACCTCATCAGATTTCTTTTGGCCCAATTCTCTAATTTGTCTAGGTCCCTCTGTATCCTATCCCTACCCTCCAGCGTATCTACCACTTCTCCCAGTTTAGTGTCATCTGCAAACTTGCTGAGAGTGCAGTCCACGCTATCCCCCAGATCATTAATGAAGATATTGAACAAAACCGGCCCCAGGACCGACCCTTGGGGCACTCCGCTTGAAACTGGCTGCCAACTAGACATGGAGCCATTGACCACTACCCTTTGAGCCTGACAATCTAGCCAGCTTTCTATCCACCTTATAGTCCATTCATCCAGCCCATACTTCTTTAACTTGCTGGCAAGAATACTGTGGGAGACCATATCAAAAGCTTTGCTAAAGTCAAGGAATAACACATCCACTGCTTTCCCCTCATCCACAGACCCAGTTATCTCCTCATAGAAGGCAATTAGATTAGTCAGGCACGACTTGCCCTTGGTGAATCCATGCTGACTGTTCCTGATCACTTTCCTCTCCTCTAAGTGCTTCAGAATTGATTCCTTGAGGACCTGCTCCATGATTTTTCCAGGGACTGAGCTGAGGTTGATTGGCCTGTAGTTCCCCGGATCCTCCTTCTTCCCTTTTTTAAAGATGGGCACTACATTAGCCTTTTTCCAGACATCCGGGACCTCCCCCAATCGCCATGAGTTTTCAAAGATAATGGCCAGTGGCTCTGCAATCACATCCAATCTAGTCCATTTCAAACAATGAGGCTGGGTCAACTCATCCTGTTCCAAGCAGGCATAGACAACCTGGTAGTTATAAACAATGGGGGTGGCCATGCCTACACAAGTGCTCCCACTGTTCCTGCCCCCGCTGGAGCTGTACTGGGAGTACTACAATGGGAAATTTCTAAGAGGAAAATGAGACTGTATTAAAGGCCTAAGAGATCTTAACTCTAGATCTGTGGCGGCTTAGAGCATCTTCCCACTGAGTTCAGGGCAAGGTCCCTGTATCTAGCTGAACTGCACCTAAAGAACCCAGGGCAGGGGAAGAAATGCGACCTAAGCGAAATTTCCACTGACCTGAGCAGCCTAAGGGCTGCTTTAAATTACTCTGGCAAGAGCAGTCCCATAGGGATTTCCCTACTGATTGGGAATCACTGGAAGACAGAATACAAAGAAGTAATAGTAAAAATACTTCAGTTCTGCCCCTCCCGCTCCTGGACCTCCCAGAAAAGTCCCATCCAGCTATGGGTGGAGCAGGTGGCATGGAACTGTTTATGCCAGGTTTGCTGTACCCAGGGACTCATTGTGTGTCAGAGCCAACATGTTGGGAGAGATGTCTGTGCCCTTTGTACCACCAGACAAACACAAAGCGGCCAGGAACTGGCTCTCAGGATGCCCGGTCATTGGCAAGAGGTCCATAGACTCTCACAGGATCTAGCCTTTTGTAAAACAGGAGGATACACTGTGTCTAGGTTTCAATGAATTCAAACACAAACACTCACCTCTTCTTTAAGGTTAAGTAAGTAACACCTGTAAATTTCTGCAGTTCCATTAAGCTTAAAAAACAACAAATAACAGATCGATGGGACAGCTGCCCAGCTGATATAGCTGCATTGAAGTCAATGGAGCCACTCTGATTTACATCCGTTGAGGGTCTGGCCTAGATGACCTTGGGACTCAAAAGGACAAAGAATTGTAACTCAACTCTTAATTGCTGGTTTGTTCTAAGCTGAGGAATGCATTGGGACCTAGAGACCTTTGAGCTACTGGACTCGTTAGATGACCATGGGCAAGTCAGTAGGTCAAGCTTTTCGAAACTGGGGGCTTGATTCTGATATCTCTTACAACAATGTAAGTCTGGTGTAAACTCCACTGAAGCCAATAGAGTCACACTCCTTTACCCCTGGTGAAAACGACTGGAGAATTTAGTTCTTGGTGTCTAAGTTTAGGCACCCGATTACAGTCCCAGTCTCCTTGCCCAGCCAGTCCTAGTATCCTCTCATCCCCACTCACAGTCCTGTGATGTTGTTAATATAACCTGTGACCGTATAGATCATTGGTGCAACCACTGTTATATATTTGCAGCAAATATTGTACAAAGCTTCTTGAGAAAGGAATTTGCAAGTTAAGTGCCCAGTCAAGAAACACTTAACTGACAATAGACCTTGGAAGACTCCAATCCACATAAGAAGTCTTCCTGGGAATGTTCAAGATAGCATATGAGCAATGGCTGCCACCTGTAAAGAACTGAGTCATGCATGGACATGTGGCTTGCCCATGTGACTCCAGGCTCCATCTTGCTGCTGTGGTCTTCCACAGGGCAGAGGATATAAAAGGCCCTGGAAACCCCTCCATTTTGTCTTCAATCCTGCTTCTTGCCTTTGGACGGACTTTGCTACAAACTGAAGCTCTGAACAAAGGACTGAATGACCCGTCCCAGCTGTGGATGTACTCCAGAGACTTGATCTGAACTTATAGCAGTTTTTTCCATCACTGCTACAAGCCTGAACCAAGAACTTTGTCATTACTGTATGTAATTGATTCCATTTAAGCAACTCTAGCTCTCATCTATATCTTTTTCCTTTTACGAATAAACCTTTAGATTTTAGATTCTAAAGGATTGGCAACAGTGTGATTTGTGGGTAAGATCTGATTTGTATATTCACCTGGGTCTGGGGCTTGGTCCTTTGGGATCAGGAGAACCTTTTTCTTTTACTGGGGTCTTGGTTTTCATAACCATTTGTCCCCATAACGAGTGGCACTGGTGGTGATACTGGAATTGTTGTGTGTCTTATGGTTAGCCAGTGGGGTAAAACCGAAGTCTTCTCTGTTTGGCTGGTTTGGTTTGCCTTGGTGTGCAAAGGACCCCCAGCCTTGGGCTGTAACTGCCCTGCTCTAAGCAATTTGTCCTGAATTGGCACTCTCCGTTGGGTCCCACCAGAACCAGCATCGTTACAAGTCCATGTTTCTCTTCCTTCTCCTCTTGGTTCCTTTTTCCAAACTGCTCCCCTCTCCCTAGGATCTGAGTCTTGCTCCCTGATTCTAACAGGGAGGTCGCTCCCCCACATTGCCTGCGACCAGCGGGCAGACACCGGAATGGCAAATGTCAGCCCAAACAGTTTCAGTAAAGCAACTGAAAATGGTCTGATAATGGGAAGGGTTGGATAGCACCACCTCTGACTGAGGTTATCAGCCCCGCTACATTATATAGATACATGTCTGTATGTGTGTGTGTATATAAATACATACAAAGGTCTCTCTCTATATCTGTAAAAATAATGACTGGAATTCACTTCCCCAGCTGGTTTAACAGGATATGCATGTACTGGTCTTCGGACCATGCTGCAAAGTCCGTCTGTTTACTCGTGTGTTGTGGGGAGGGGTTCAGGACTGGACTGCTATCAGTTTACCTCTGGCCACTGAGCATTTCTCCTCATGCCTGTGTGATCGCTGATAGGTCGCATGACATTTATGGTTTCCATCTGGGCAGTTTGGCTCTGTAACAGGATATCTCAGAGGCAGTCCAGCCCTGGCTCTTCGCTCCAGCTCCCACTGCACACAGGGATAGGGGTGTGTGTGTAGATTGTGAACTCAGTGCATATGCAAGAGAGACAACGGCTGACAGCACCATGACATCTGTGCTGGACAGCATGGGGCCCTCCTGGGCCTGGCTGCATGTGGACATCTATTGGATTTTTTACCTGGCTGCTGTGTTTTGCCTGACTCATGTACTTCTGAAAGTGATCCAGCTGTGTCGGAGGAGACAGCAACTGCTCAAAGCCCTAGATTGTTTCCCAGGCCCGCCAAGGCACTGGCTGTATGGCCATGCCCATGAGGTACGGTCTATGATACTACTTGATAATGTATTAGGGAGCGTGTCGGAGTGAGTGTCACGAACGAATGAAGTCTTGGTAATCTCAGCACACTTCCCTACTGTCCCGTACTTGCAGAGAAATGGGGAGATGTCAGTGATTTTCTGTGTGAACGGTAAAGGCCACTGTCATCATTGGGGGGAGGGGGAAAGTTTGCATTTTTCAGTGCTCAGTGTTAAATATCTAGGGCTTGATTTCTTCAGAGGTGCTGAGCACCCGCAACACAATTCAACCAGGCTCAAGGTATCTCCCTTGGGCACCCAAAAATGGAGGTACCCCCAAAACTGAGGCCACTTTTGAAAACTTGGGCCAAAATATTGCAAGGTTCTGCTGTAACAAGGATCAGCGCCAAGTCTCACAGACAGATCAGAAGCTGCCAGTGGCTTTCTCGGGGGTCTCACATCAGAGGGGAGCTAAAATTCCCAGCTGGAATTTTACCTCCCGGGTTTTGGAATTCACACCCCTCTCTATTTTACTGTTCATACTGATCTCGCTACATTTAATGCTTTGAATATTTTGGGGTGTGTGTGTGTGTGTGTGACATTTACTAGACACTCTCTGCCTCCCTTGATGCTGGATCGACTGTTCCTTTCAATGGAGGCTGCTTATCTTTGAGAACCCACCTCCCTTTTTTTCTAAGCCAAGTCCATCAGAGAGGAGAAGGGAGAGTCTCTTGCTAAATAAATGTACCCAATATATTTACCTCCTAAATATATTTACACGGTTTGAGAAAAGAGCCACTTCTTTTGAGTGTTTTTCTCTTTGCCCTGTAAGCGTTTTCTCCTTGAGGGCTGTATTCATTTGTTGAATCATCAATACTTTTGGCGGACTTGGTAACACTTGTATTTGCCATCCTAAGCACCAGGAGGCTGCCTTAGACTCTGCAGATGTGAATAGGGTTGCCAGGTGTCCAGATTTTGTCCGGAACACTTGATCGAAAGGGGACCTTGGCAGCTCCAGTCAGCATCGCTGATCGGGCCGTTAAAAGTCTGGTCAGTGGCGCAGCAGGGCTAAGGCAGGTTCTCTGTCTGACATGGCTCCGTGCAGCTACTGGAAGCAGTGGCATGTCCCCCGCTCCGGCTCCTATGCATAGGGGCAGCCAGGGGCCTCCACATTCTGGCTCCCCTAGAGCTGGCTCTGCAGCTCCCATTGGCCAGAAACCACAGCCAATGGAAGCTGCAGGGGCGGGGCCTGCAGACAAGGCAGCGCACACCAGAGCTGGCCATGCCTCTGTGTAGGAGCTGGAGGGGGCACACAAAGCTGCTTCTGGGAGCTGTGTGAGGTAAGTGCCACCCAGAGCGTGCCCCCCTCAGCCCCTCCCACACCCCAACCCCCTGCCCCAGCCCTGATCTCCCTCCAACCCTCCGAATCCCTCAGCCCCAGCCCGGATCACTCTCCTGCACCCCAAATCCCTCATCCCTGGCCGCACACCAGAGTCTGCACCCCCAGCTGGAGCCCTCATTCCCCGCACCCCAACCCCCTGCCCCAACCTAGAGCTCCTTCCCACACCCTGAACCCCTCATTTCTGGCCCCAATATGGAACCCGCACCCCCAGCCCAGAGCCCATACCCCCACCCACACCGCAGCCCCCTGCCTCAGCCCAGAGCCCCCTCCTATACTCCAAGCCCCTCAGCTCCACCCCCCATCCCAAAGCCCCCTCCTTAACCGAAACCCCTCATCCCCAGCTCTACCCCAGAGCCTGCACCCACAGCCAGAGCCCTCAACTCCTCCCGCACCCCAACCCTCTGAGCCATCCTGGTGAAAATAAGCAAGCAAGTGAGGGTGGGGAAGAGCGAGCAACAGGAGGGGGGATGGAGTGAGCAGGGGGTGGGGCCTTGGAGAAGGGGCGGGGTCTCAGAGGCGAGGCTGGGGCAGAGCAAGGGTGTTTGGTTTTGTGCGAGTTTAAAGTTGGCAACCCTCGATGTGAATCATGTTAATTAATACTTGTATTTATTGTTTCTCTTATAGCCGCACCCATAGACCTCTCTTTAGTTCAGGGTCCCATTGTGCTAGGCACTGCAAAGAGTTTACAATCTAAGTAGATGAGACAGGCAAACAGTAGGAGAAAGAAAATCATATTATCCCCATTTGAGATACAGAGGCCCAGACTGGAATGATCTTTCCTAGGTAGACTAATAACGTTATCACAAGTACAGCCACTGAAATCAATGGGAACAATTGGTGGGATGGGGAAGGTGCTACTCAGACTATCATAAACTGGCCCAGGGGCGTTAACTGATTTGTCCAAGGTCACACAGGGAGTCAGTAGCAGAGCTGTGAATTGAACCTAAGTCTGCTGCGTCTTAGTCCAGTGCCTAAGCTCTTCAGGGCAGGGATTGCCTTTCTTCTGTGTTTGTACAGCTCCCCGCACAATGCAGCCCCAATCCTGATATATTTAGGTGCTACCATAATATAAACCTTTATCAATACTTCACCACTAGACCATCCTTTACTGCGCCTTTATTTTCTCCATAAACAGTATTTTTTTTCTTTGTAAAAAATCATTACAGCTTCAAGATCAAGAACTCAACAAGGTCATATCTTGGGCAGAGAAATACCCATGTGCTCACTCTGTATGGTTTGGAGGTTTCTTAGGATTCCTGAATATCTACCACCCCGAATACGCCAAGGCTGTATATAGCAGAGGAGGTGAGAACATGCAACTTTATTTCTGAGTTCTTAGGATTACAGTTGCTAAGTGTTCCTGCCACCAAAGTCAGGGCCAGCCCACAACATTTTGGCACCTGAAGCAGGGAGCTAAAATGATGCCCCCATCCCCCCTTGCTTGAGCCAAAACTATGAAAGGAAAATTCGTTTTAGGATTACTGTTGCTAAGTGTTCCTGCCACCAAAGTCCACTTTTAGTGGAGTGCTGATATCTTGAAATCTGTAGCCTTGTTATAGAACTACAGTAACTCCTCACTTAATGTCGTAGTTATGTTCCTGAAAAATGCAACTTTAAGTGAAACGATGTTAAACGAATCCAATTTTCCCATAAGATTTAATGTAAATGCGGGGGGTTAGGTTCCAAGGAAGCGCCACATCTCCGCTCCTCCCCCTCCCTCCCAGAAAGTCCTAAGCGCCGTCAAACAGCTGTTTGGTGCTGCTTAGGACTTTGGGGGGATGGGGGGAAAGGAGCAGGGACTTTCTGGGAGGGAGGGGGAGCAGCGGGGAAGCGCTGCGTCTCCACTCCTCCTCCTCCCTCCCAGAAAGTCCTAAGCACCGCCAAACAGCTGTTTGGCAGTGGGGAAAGCGCTGGGTAGGAGGGGGAGGAGGCAGAGAAGAGGAACTTGTGCAATGCTCCCTTGTAAAGTCGCAGCTCTTCCACAGAATCTTACAAGCAGTGGACAGAGCAGGCAGCCAAATGACATTATAAGGGAGCATTGCAAAACTTTAAACAAGCATGTTCCTTACTTGAGCACCAACGTAACTTTGAAACAATGTTAAGCAGGAGGCCGTTAAGTGAGGAGTTACTGTATTTGCTGCTACATATTAACACCCCTCGCCCCACACACGCCCCAACTTGCATCCTTATATCATTCCTCTCCTGTTTTGCAGTTCACACATATTCAGCTGTTTTGGTCTTCCTCAGGGACCCCAGTGTAGGTGTGCACTGCAAGATTCAATTAAAAACCAAAGTGAACTCAGAACAACAAAATTCATTCATGCGCAGAGGGCCAGCCAAGGGTTACGAGGCCCTCGAAACAGACTAAAATGGAGGTTAAGTTGTGCATAGGCTAGGTGCAAACCCTCTGTATGGAAGTGAATTTTACCCTGTGCAATTATTTGAATAGTCTTCTAAGAACACAAAACATCTGTCAGCAAATTGCCTGTGTGACAGCCGCCAGCTTGGCTGACATACCAGAGACTGAACTGGGAAATTCCAGGGCTAAATGAATGAGCCGCTAGAGCATAAGCTGAAGAGTCTGACTCCTTAGCAGTGTCTGTACTTGTATCCTCTGTGCCTCAGACCCAGAGGGGGACCGTCAACACTAGCTGCCCAGTGGGTTACACATGGAAAGCAGGTCCTGCTGCTTCACTTACCTAAAAGCAATGAACTAGCTCTGAGCAGTATGCTCGGTGGATGAGCCTAATACCACTTCCTAGAATCTGTTTTACCAGGCTCTAAGGAGCAGAGTGGTGTTTGAAAAACCGGCAGGCTTAGGAGATTGGTAATGGTGGGAGACAGAACCTTTCACCTACAGGTCAGCAGCTAGAAACTGAACCGCAGTAAAGGGTGAAATCGTGGACCCGCCGAAGTCAATGGGGTCAGGATTCCACCTCTGAAGTTTAGTGGTTTACATGAACTGGATTGGTGGTGACAGCCCAATAGCTAGTGGGTCGGGGTCTACAGTGCACAAACGCAGTTAGCACTTCCTGGCAACTTTGCTGAATCTGTCTATACCTGAGAAGTGCTGAGGTGCTATAGAAACCCTAAACAAGATAGACCAATACCATTGATGGGAAAGGAGGAAAAACCCCTCATAATAATCTACTCCATCCCCTTGCCAATGCCAGATTATTTCTATCTGCTTACATGGCCCTCGTCACCATGGTATCTCTTTCTTATTGTGTATTTCACAGGCTCAAAGCTTGAACTGTCAGGAAACATTTGTTTGAAATACAGCCTAAGGCCCAGATCCACAAGGGTATTTAAGTTCCTAACACACACTGATTTTCACTGGCAGTGAGGTGCCTAAATATCTTTGAGTATCTGGGCCTAAATTTTCACTTTACTCATTTTATCCTATTTGTTCCTACACCCCATCCCCCACCACACCTCCCCTCTCCCAACTTGCATCCCCATATAATTCCTCTGCTGTTTTGTGGTTTATACTGTTTACATATTTGGAGACCATTTGGCCCCTGATGGCTGTTGCTTAGCTAAGACACATGTATCCAGCTGTTTTGAGCTTCCTTAATGACCCCCATACATCATTTCTGTTGCTCTTCTCCGAACTCCCGCCCGGTTTCTGAAGAGCTTTCTGACAACAAAGGGGCCCCAGCTGGACACGGTCATCTCAGTTCAGCCCTGGATTGACTAGGCGCGGGGCTTGGATTACCCTTTTCTCCTCCGGAGGTTGTCCCTGTAGCCAATGGTTCTGAGGCGCAGTGTGGAGGAAGCTTGCGTGGCACATTGAGCTAATTTGTGTGACCATATCGGCCTCTAGCGGCTGGCTGCTGTGAGGATATGACTCTCCTTCATCACAGCCAAAGGAGGTGCTTCTTTAATTCAAGTGGTGTTGGTGCTGAAGGTCTCAGGGGCGAACATTTGCGCTGTTTGTGTGTTGGCAGCCGCAGGTTTATTGGACCTGCGCACACACTGCCCGATCACACCTGCTCGGTGACTCTAAAGAGGACTGTTAACCCAGTGCCTTCCACGCCCCTTCAGCTGATGGACTTTGCTTCTGAAGGAAGGCGAGAGGCAGAAGAGAGTCCTCTCAAGAGTGGCGGCCAGGTGTGCCCTGCCGTCTGAGCTCTGAGATAATATCACCCGCCATCCCTCCCTATCCTACGTGGACTTCGCTCCAAGATTAGGGAAAGCACCTCTGTCCCAATCCGACCTCAAGTCCAATGACCTTTCCCTATACATCGATCTAAATGTAGGGCTTGTTTCTGCTCCCATCCCCCCGCCTGTCTTGTCAGATTGCTCGCCTCCTCCCCAGCCCAGCCAGCAGCGCTGGGAGAAACTGGCTGAGATTCTGGGCCACGTGCCCAGGGACAAGGGAGGCAAAGTGGGCTGGAACTGACATTTCTGCCCTCCTGATTATGGGCTGCTCCGGCGACCAAGATTGCCTCTGGTGTAAATTCTGCCGTCGTCCCCAGGGCTTCGTATGGCTGGTGGTGCAAGCCAGAATGGGTGTGCTGGTGCCAGCTACAGCCCTGCCCCAGAGCACACCCCATGAACTGGGGCTTGCAGGAGAGGGACAAGGATAATGCCCAATGGAGGCCCTTCATGGAGATAATACTCTCCCAGCTCCGTGCAGGCTGTTATCAGCATATGTAGGCTATCGGAGCAGCAGTGAGAATCCTGACCACTGTATCTGTCTATGGCACAACCTCCTGTTGGGGCAGGGCAGATCTGCACTACCACCACCCACTGGAGCTTAAAAGCCACAATCTAGCCCTTAATGGGTTCCATTTAAATGCTTTGCTTTTTCCTACTGAAGTATAGGATGTCAGGGGAGGGCGAGAACTTACCACCCTCCATGACCCCTTGATTTAACTGCCATAGTTTGCGTTAGAAGGCAAAGTTGTCTCCATTAAAACACACATCTCTGGTGCGTTTTTCAGATCCGAAGGCTGATGACTTCTATCATTTCTTTGTCCCATGGACTGGTACGTATGCTTTTTGGCTCTCACATTACATAACTCCGTTCTCTTGGGATAACTGGGTGTACAAATTTACCCGACTTGTGAGCCCAACTGTGAAAAGCGAGTGGGAAATGTATAAAGTGTCACAACAACCTAGAACCATAAACGTTGATGGGAAAAGGTGCAAAACGGAGATAGAGACTGAACTAGTCCACACAAAAAAGCCTCCGGCTATAACTCAAGGGCTGTGTTCAGATCATGTCCGGTAAACAAGAGAAGTGGGGGACTAGAAATCAAAGGACCAAAATCTTTGTGTCAGAGACTAGGCCTAATTGGTGGATGAAATAATAAAGGGCTGGGCTCTTCTGCCTGTCACTCCCTTCTGAAGTCCTTAAAAAGAAAGACGTTTTGGGGAAAAAGCCACCTCATGTGATGATGGCTGATGGAAAGAAGGGGAAAGGGCAAGTTTTACCATAATGGCTGCCACCCCCACTTTCTCCTGCATCTCCGGGATCCAGCGTGACACCATTGTGTCAGAAGGGGGGCGCGGTGCAATGAAGTTTGAAAACCCATGGAATAGATGATCGCAGTGGTCCCTTCTAGCCTTGGAATCTATGAATCTGCTGTGAGCCTGTGACCAAAAAGGCAGCTAACGGCAATGTCTGAAACAGCCCAAAGCTAGTACGTGTTTGCCGGGTCTCTGAGAGGCGCAGCGTACAATCTTATTACCTAGGGCTTTTTCAGCACTGAGGTTGCAAGTAAAAGTCAACACCAAAGACTGAAGCTGCAATGTCTATCTTTGCTGTTCTTTTCCTTCCCCTTTTGGGTGTTCTCTTGTTTTGTCTCTTAGGAAATAGGATCGGCTCCAGGCCATTTCAACTAACTTCTCTCTCCCCACTAAGGACAGTTATTACCGTCTTTGGTACCATGTAAGAGACTGTCTCACGAGGGTGTTTGTCCTTCTTAAAAGCTTCTCTCCAGCTAAAGGGAAAGGGAACAAGGGATGTGGTTACAATGAAAGCCTTACTTGAGATTTTACATTTCAAATGCTTGAACTGTTTTTTCTTCTTTTCCAGTATCTTTACTAAGCGGTTAAAAGCGTTTGTAATGGTGCATTTGCCCTGGTACTAAGGAGGCTGGGGTTTCTGCACACCAAACCCTGAACCATGTTTGAAACTGTTAAATGTTGGACCGTGACTGGGTTATGTTAACACGCTTGGCTCTTGGGCCCATTTATTCCATCTAAATTAATACAAGAGGAAGAGATCTTATGGGCTGAAACTCACTCCACCTTGCTCAAAGACCCAGTACTGAAGAGTCATCTGTCCCCTCCCCTGCAGCTGAGTCTGTGTGGGTGGGGAGAGAAGGAAGCAGCTGCTTCAGGACCTGGTGGGGGCCAGAGAAGGGATGGGATGAGAGCATCAGGAGAACAAGGTGAGGGAGCAAGTTGCCCCTTCCTAACCTCCCAGGGATCCCATAGAAGCCGTGAGATTTTGCTGCTTTCCACCACCCCACTATGGACCACTCTAATTTGATTCTCATTGGCTGAGAAGTCCTGATGTACGTCAATGACCACAAGGCTGGGAATCAGGAGCTCTAATCCTGCCTCCTTGTGGCTGTTAAAGGCCAGCACAAGTTAAAGCAGTCAGCGTAGGGATCTCCGTGTAAGGGCCCCAGCTTCAGGCCAAAGCAAAAGGGAGCCTTCAACCATCTTTGCACACCATCTTCCTGACGTATGCTCTGTGCATTACAGCCATGCCAAAGATCTCCAGGGAATCCTGCCCTCTCTTCCATGAGAAATGGGAGCACAAAGGTGGCACAGGATAGGATGTAGCTTTGTAGAGCGTATACACCCCCCTGTCACCACACACAATTTAGTTGCTTAGCATTTAGATGCTTTGTGAGAGGCATTGTATATCTAGCTGAACTAAATAAGACTAGTTATATGCACAACAACAGAACGAAATAGTAGAGACGGCTGCCCAAGGGTGATTGACTGATGCAAATAAAGTCCCTGGTCTTGTTGAGCTAGAATCCTAAAAGCTAGTAGGGAGATAGAACATAGGACTGGAAAGGACTGGTTGGGTCATCAAGTACAGTCCCCAGACACTGCAGGCAACCCCCTCGTATAATCCTGTTCCTAAATGTATCAAGCTACATCTTCAAACCAGTTAGGTGGTTTGTTCCCACAACTCCTATAGGGACATTGTTCCAGAACCTCACTTCTCTGATGGTTATAAACCACCTTCCAACTTCCAGCCTAAGGCCATCGCTACACTAGGGAATTACTTCGCTATAACTACATCACCAGGGGAGTGAAAAATCCACACTCCTGAGCAACATTGTTATACCAACCTAAGTGCCAGTGTAGACAGAGCTTCTCCCACCGACAGAGCTACCATCGCTCACAGAGGTGGATTAACTACGCCAACAGGAGAGCTCTCTCCCATCGGCATAGAGCATCTTCACTAAAGTGCTACAGCAGCGCAGCTGCACTGATGCAGCTGTGAAGATGCAATTTTTTTAAGTGTAGACCTGGCCTAAAAAATGTATTTGTGGCCACTTTATACTTTATTTAGGACAGCTACCCCTGCTTTCCAACCCAGTTTTCTCCAGCAGTGTACACACACAGCAGGGGTTTGCATTTTCTCCAAGATAAACCATTATGAATACAAAGACCCTTTTTTTGATTAACAACTGTCTTTCAACGGCATAACACCGTCTCTTCGGGCTAGTCGACACTAGAAGTGCTACAACGGCTCATCTGCACAGATGCAGCTATAGTGCGTCTGGTGAAGACACTCTATGGGGATGGGAGAGAGCTCTCCCATCAGTATAATAAAACCCCTTCGGCAACATAGCGCTGTCCACACTGGTGCTTAGTTCAGTGTAACTTACATCGCTCAGGGGGTGGCTTATTCACACCCCTGTGAGACTTAAGTTATGCTGATGTAACCTATAGTGTAGACAAGTCCTCAGATTCCACCTTTCACAGCCCAGATCGTCTGGGTTTATCTTGTTTCGATGAGGCCTTTTGTTAAGCCCATCTAAGCAGTCTGATTTCTTTTGTCATGAGCTGTAAGTTATGGACAGAAGTCCAGACTCTCTGCCACAATCCAGAAGGCTTAAAACTGTGTGTTTCCCTCCTCAGGGAAAGGATTAATCGTTTTACATGGACCAAAGTGGTTCCA